TTCTAGGTCCTTGAGGAATCGCCACACTGTCTTCCACAATGGTTGAACTAATTTACACTCCCACCAACAGTGTAAAAGTGTTCCTATTTCTCCACATCCTCTCCAGCATCTGTTGATCCTAGATAATTCTTGAAATCCAGAGACCATGGCCTCAAGTAACTAGGATTCTTAGGGCTTGAGAAACATAGCCATAGAGGTTTTATTTACCATTGGAGTTCCCAAGTAATTATTTTAGTGTTAGTACTTGGGATATTTAGAATGGAAGGAGCAGTGTGTTTACCTGCAACCTGTGTTAGCATTTCTCTCTTACTAGTTAAAAACTCATCCACTAGAGGTAGAACAAAGCATCAGGGATAAAAGTAAAAATAGGATAGGTTGGAGTTATTGAGGCCCTTATTGTACTTCCTCTCTCCCCTCTTGAAATTTTCAGTTACTTTACTTTGTTCATTTAACTGTTTTATTCTAACATACTTTAAAAAAAAAAAAAAACTTCTTCCTCTTTTTCGTTTCCTGCACTAAATCCTATAACAGCTGGTATTTGTATTGTTTTGATTTTTTTTTTCCCTTTTTACTTAGCAAGGTGTGTTCAGAATGAGCCTCTGTGGAGAGTCAGGCCAGTCGTGTCCCATGGTAGTTTCGTCCATTAAAGTATCCAGGTCACTGGTCTGTCAAGATTATATAACTAACGGCATATCCAAGACAAAGCACCTGTCTCTGCACTTCTGCTTCTAGTTTTTCCCACTCCACCTCACAATTCTTTGCCTAGTGGTACTTCATGAATACTGTAGACTATGGAACATTGCTCTTTTTTTTTTTTTTTTGAGATGGAGTTTTGTTCTCTCGCCCAGACTGGAGTGCAATGGCATGATCTCGGCTCAGTGCAGCCTCCACCTCCCAGGCTCAAGCGATTCTTCTGCCGCAGCCTCCCAAGTAACTGGGATTACAGGCACCTGCCATCATGCCTGGCTAATTTTTGTACTTTTGTAGAGACAGGGTTTCACCTTGTTGGCCAGACTGATCTTGAACTCCTGACCTCAGGTGATCTGCCTGTGTTGGCTTCTCAAAGTGCTGGGATTACAGGTGTGAGCCACTGCACCAGCCAGGAACACTGCTGTTTATTGTAGCACATATTGGATGAGCAGACATTACCCAGAAGGCTAGAATGTTGAGTGTTATGGTGAGAGCGCCTTGGCAAATGATTGGTAGAAGTTTCTGGAATAGTGAGCTCTTAATTACAGATAGTTTCTTTGGCACCCGGTTCTACTTGAGATAACCTGAAACAAGCCACCTTTTCAGAAATTAAGATATTAAAAGCAAATTGCAAAACTGTATGATTCTGTGCGTACAGTTACATGTACAGGTTGAGTATCCCTTTATCTGAAATGTTTGCATTATATTTACCAATTGAGCATCTCAAATCCAAAAATCCAAAATACGAAATACTCCAGTGAACATTTCCTTTGAGAATTGTTGGCACTCAGAATATTTTCAATTTTTGGATTTGGGGTGCTCAACCTGTATAATACCATTGGATATACATTTGATCCCTGAACAATGTGGGAGTTAGGGACACTGACCGCCCCCAACCACTGCGGCCCTCCGCACAGTCGAAAATTTGTGTATAACTTTTCACTCCCCCCAAACTTAACTATTAAGAACCTATTGTTGACTGTAAACCTTGCCAATAACATAAACAGTTGATTAACACATACTTTTATTTTTTTTGAGTCGGAGTCTCTCTCTGTCCCCCAGGCTGGAGTGCAATGGCATGATCTTGGCTCACCGTAACGTCTGTCTCCCGGGTTCAAGCAATTCTCCTGCCTCAGCCCCCCAAGTAGCTGGGATTACAGGCGCCTATCACCACGCCCAGCTAATTATTTTTTATTTTTTATTTTTTCTTGAGACAGGGTTTCACCATATTGGCCAGGCTTGTCTCTTGGCCAGGCTGGTCTCAAACTTCTGACCTTGTGATCTGCCCGCCCCGGCCTCCCAAAGTGCTGGAATTACAGGCATGAGCCACCATGCCCGGCCATAACACATACTTTGTATGTTATATATGTATTATATACCATATTCTTATAATAAAGTAAGCTAGAGAAAAGAATGTTACTAAGAAAATCATGAGGAATAGAAAATATATTTACCACTCATTAAATGGAAGTGGATCATCATAAAGGTCTTCATTCTCCTTGTCTTCATGTTGAGTAGGCTGAGGAGGAAGAAGAGGTCTTGCTGTCTCGGGTGACAGAGGCAGAAGAGGTAGAGGAGGTGGAAGAGAAGGCAAGAGGGTAGACACATTTGGTGTAACTTTGCAGAAATACATTATAATTTCTGTCTGACATTTTTGCTTTTTCATTTCTCTAAGAATGTTTCTATAAAGTTCCAATTCTTCCACCATTTGCTTTAGTTTTAATGTGTTCATTTTCAGTTTAGATGGTTCCATAAAAAAAGTCAAAAGCAGTCTTGAATGATTGACACTTCTGCCAGATTGTCTAGTGTCAGTTTGTTTTCTGGCACTGCTTCTCCTAAGTTTTCTTCCTCATCACCTTGCACTGGAAGACTCATCCCCATCAAATGGACTTTTGTTAATTACTTTGGTGTGGTATCTGTTAGCTCTTGAATTTCTCCAAGATTTATATCTTGAAACCCTTCACCCGAACTCCCTTGCACTTTTTTTTTCCATATCCACAATATCCACAATCTCTTTCGTGATTTCCTTGATTGGCTCTGTCTTAAGTCCTGTGAAGCAATACACAATATCTGGACACAGTTTTTTCTCCAGCAGGACTTTGTTTTCGGCTTGATGATTTTCATGGCTTTTTCTTTCCTTTTTTTTCTTTTGAGATGGAGTCTTGCTCTGTCCCCTAGGCTGTAGTGCTGTGACATGATCTCGGCTCACTGCAACCTCTGCCTCCCAGGAGTTCAAGCAACTCTCCTGCCTCAGCCTCCTGAGTAGCCGGGATTACAGGTGCGTACCACCACACCCAGCTAATTTTGTATTTTTAGTAGAGATGGGCTTTCACCATGTTGGTCAGGCTGGTCTCGAACTCCTGACCTCGTGATCTTCCCGCCTTGGCCTTCCAAAGTACTGGGATTACAGGCGTGAGCCACTGCACCTGGCCTTTCATGGCTTTTTCTATGACAACAATAACATCTTCAGAGGTATAATCTTTAAACACTTTCTTGATGCTCTCTCTGTTAGAGTTCTCTTCCATATCATTGACAGTCCTTTCTATCGAGTACCACATGTAATGAGCTTTAGAGGTTTTTGTAACCCCCTGGTCTGGAGGCTGAACTAGCAACATTGTGTTTGGGGGAAAGTAGACCACTTTGACGCCTTCAGTGTTGAACTCATGGGGTTCTGGGTGGCCAGGGGCATTGTCCAATATTAAAAGAATTTTAAAAGCCAGTTCCTTACTGAGAAGTCTTGACTTCAGGGACAAAGCATCAGCAGAACCAATTCAGAAAAAGGATTTCCATTATCCAGCCCTTCTAGTTGTGCAACCAAAGGACAGGCAGCTGGTGCTTATCTTTTCCTTCAAGGATTGGGGGTGGAGCTTAGCAGCTTTATAGATAAGGGCAGTCCTGATCATAAACTCCACTATGTTTACATGAAACAGTAGAGTTAGCCTGTCTTTTTGCTTAAAATCCTGCTACTTGCTTCTCTTCCTAACTACTAAATGTCCTTTGTGGCATTTTTCTAGAATAGGATACTTTCATTTCCATCAAAAACTTGTTCAGGCCAGGCGCCGTGGCTCACACCTGTAGTCCCAGCACTTTGGGAGGCCAAGGCAGGTAGATCATGAGGTCGGGAATTTGAGATCAGCCTGGCCAACATGGTGAGATCCCGTCTCTACTAAAAATACAAAAATTAGCCAGGCGTCGTGGTATGCATCTGTAATCCCAGCTACTTGAGAGGCTGAGGCAGAAGAATTGCTTGAACCGGGAGGCAGAAGTTGCAGTGAGCCAAGATCGTGTCACTGCACTTTAGCCTGGACAACAGAGCAAGGCTCCGTCTCAAAACAAAACAAAACAAACCTGTTCCTGCAGATATTCTTTCTCCTCAATGATTTTCTTTTTCTTTCTTTCTTCCCTTCTCTTCCCTTCCGTCCCCTCCCCTCCCTTCCCCTCCCCTCCCCTCCCCTCCCCTCCCCTCCTTCTCTTTCTTTTCTTTTCCTTTGTTTTATTTTATTTTATTTCTTCTTTCAACAGAGTTTTGCTCTTGTTGCCTAGGCTGTAATGCAGTACACGATTTTGGCTCACTGCAACCTCCGCCTGTCAAGCAACTCTCCTGCCTCAGCCTTCCGAGTAGCTGGGATTACAGGCATGCACCACCACATCCAACTAATTTTTGGATTTTTAGTAGAGACATGGTTTCACCATGTTGGCCAGGTTGGTCTCGAATTCCTGACCTCAGGTGATCCGCCTGCCTCAGCCTCCCAAAATGCTGGGATTACAGGCATGAGTCACTGTACACAGTCCTGCATTAACTTTTTATGATAGATTTGTATCTATGATAGCAAATGATAAAATAGGCTAGTATGTACATTTATTTTATGCATTCATGACATACCTTTTCCTAAATTTTTTTCAGTATTTCTAGGCTATGCCACTTATCTGCTATTTTTTTTCAAATTGTTACAAATCTCCCCTAAATGTTACAGTGTGTTTATTGAAAAAAATCTGTATTTAAATAGACCAAGGCTGTTAAAACCTGTATTGTTCAAGGGTCAACTGTATCGTATTTACATGTATTGCATGTATCTGATTGTACACGGGAAAATGCTGTACCCAGAACTGTTAGCAATCACTTCTGTGGAGTATATGAGCTTGATTTCAAGGCGATGGGAGTTGAGTGAGTCAGTCAACAGATATTTGTGAGTGTCAGCTGCGTCTGTGCCCTGTCTAATCTATCAGCGTACCTCTGCAGGTAAGTCGGCCATATCCTCTGTGCCAGGTTCTTTGGCCCTTTAAGTACATTAGATCGTCTAATTATCTGAACAATTAAATATTATTCTATGTGATTGAGAACTTATTCTACATTTGTTGCCTATTTTAATTCCAGTTGCTGAAATAATAAAGTTTACTTACTTAAGACAAATTATTGTAATTATCTAGGACTGGATGAGCCTTCAGTTAGAACTCTACTCAACGCCTGTGACAAACACAGACTCTTGTTTCTTTAAGCCTGACATCTGTTACATTTCTTTAAGATCATTTCAATATTCCATTTCTCTTCCATTTTCGCTGATTTTTTTCCCCAAATTTTGAATAGAAGAGGATGTGAATGTCTATTCTATTAAAAGTTATTTTTTCATGTTTTTATTTGGAAAATGTTCTAATCTACAGAAAGTCGAAAAAAATAGCACAATAAATATCCATGAATCCTTCAGCAAGATTTGCCAGTTGTTAATATTTGGCCGGCCTGCTTGCCTTCCTTCCTTCCTTTTTTCCTTCCTTCCTCTCTCTCTCTCTTTCTTTCATTTCTCTCTCTTTTTTCTTTCTCTCTCTCTCTTTATTTAAAAAGATACATATATAGAACATTTTTTCTGAACCTTTTGGATGGCAGTTGCAGATAGCAGCATCTCACCCCTAAATTCTTAAGCCTGCAACTCCTAAAAATAAGGACATTGTCTCACAGAACCACAATGCCAAACTTGCACCTGAGTACATGAGCAGTAATTCAATGGTATGATATACAGGCCATATTTAGACTTCCCCAAACCAGGTTGATTGTTTTGAGAAACTCAAGCCGGTTATCTTGTGGAATGCCCTGCATTCTGGATTATTCTATCTTCCCATGATGAACTTCAGGTGACAACGCTCGTTAGAACAAAAGATTACAGCGCGGCTGTTGTAAACTTCTTATTGCATACATCATGAGACCTATCATGTCAGGCTGTTGCACTCCCGGTGATGCTAACTGTGGTTAAAGTGTTACCCACTCAGATCGCTCCATTATAAAGCTGCATTTTTTTTTCTTTTGTAATTAGTCCTCATTTCTGGGGTGATATGTTGAGATAGTGTGAATATCCTCTTCCCAGCAAGCTTTCATTCAATGTGTGTGTGTGTGCGTGTGTGTATGTATGTGTTTTGAGATGGAGTTTTGCTGTTGTTGCTCAGGCTGGAGTGCAATGGCATGGTGTGGGCTCACCACAACCTCCGCCTCCTGGGTTCAAGCGATTCTCCTGCCTCAGCCTCCCTAGTAGCTGGGATTACAGGATGCGCCACCATGCCAGCTAATTTTGTGTTTTTAGTAGAAACAGGGTTCCTTCATGTTGGTCAAACTGGTTTTGAACTCCCAACCTTAGGTGATCCGCCCGCCTCGGCCTCCCAGAGTGCTGGGATTACAGGTGTGAGCCACCACACCTGGCCTCATTCAATGTTTTTAATATCTTTGTCTAAATTTTTACAGTGGGGGTTGCAAAAGTGATGATTTATCCACTTAAGTTTTTCTACATTTTTTAGTTGCCATTCTTCTATAAAGATAGATGTTCCTTTCCATACCCCCACCACCTTTTTTTTTTTTTNTTTTTGAGATGGAGTTTTGCTCTTGTTGCCCAGGCTGGGGTGCAATGGCATGATCTTGGTTCATTGCAACCTCTGTCTCCCGGCTTTAAGTGATTCTCCTCCCTCAGCCTCCAGAGTAGCTGGGTGACAGGCACCTGCCACCACGCCCAGCTAATTTCCTTTTTAAGTATAATTGTGGAATCATTGATTAATTGTTAGATGTAATGTGCTATCCACTACCATTATTGTCCTTTTTGATGCTTGCGTTGTACCAAATAAGGGTGATTAGAGACCTTCTTGTTAGAAGGTTTTAGAAAGATTTATACCATAATTTTAAACATTAACGATTACATGTATTTTTTTCCAAAATTTTTGACCAAGAATTTGTAGTGCTCAGTTTAATAAAACATTTAAATTCCTTTAGGACTCTCACAGAAGGAGGAGGAGGAGGACACTTTTATTGAAGAACAACAACTTGAAGAAGAGAAGCTATTGGAAAGAGAGAGGTCAGCGATAATTGAAACACTTAAAGTGAATGAAGTTATTTTATTGGAATATTATCAGCCTTTACTAACCAGTACCAGTCTTCTGTATAAAATCTTGTATAAAATAGGTCTTATAAAATACCCTGTATAAATTATTTAAAACTATAGTTGATGGGCTAAAACTAGATGCTATTTTTTTTTAATGGAAGTACTTTTAACTGTTTTTGCTAATTTGTAATTGTTTTGAAACAGAAAAAAGAAATAATTAACAAATGTAAAAGGGGAAAGGGTTTTAACAATTGCAACACACCCAAAGATAGCCACTGTTAAGAAAGAAAAAAGGAACTGTAAATGTACTTTACATGTGTCTTTCTATAATGGGATGATATTTATACATGTTTTTCTATAAATTACACTCTTGTAAGTATGTAGTGCATTTATTTCAGTCCTGATGCAGGGATCTAATTAACTGTTTCAATGGCAATACAAGGCTGGGTATGCTGGCTCACGCCTGTAATCCCAGCACTTTGGGAGGCCGAGGCGGGTGGATAACAAGGTCAGGAGTTCAAGACCAGCCTGGCCAACATGGTGAAACCCCATCTCTACCAAAAATACAAAAATTAGCTGGGCATGGTGGCGCACGCCTTAATCCCAGCTTCTTGGGAGGCTGAGGCACGAGAATAGCTTGAACCGGGACCCAAGAGGCAGAGGTTGCAGTGAGCCGAGATTGCGCCACTGAACTCCAGCCTGGGCTACAGAGCGAGACTCCGTCTGAAAAAAAAAAAAAAAAGGCAATACAGTACCTACTGCACAGATGTAGCATAATTTATGTGCTAGTCATAGTTTATTCATTCATAAATTATAGCTCTCTACTGATGGACTTTCAGGTTATATTGGTCTTTTACTCATATGTAAAAAGTTGCAGTGAGCGGCTAGGTGCGGTGGCTCATGCCTGTAATCCCAGAACTTTGGGAGGCTGAGGTGGGTGGATCACGAGGTCAGGAGTTCAAGATCAGTCTGGCCAAGATGGTGAAACCCCGTCTCTACTAAAAATACAAAAATTAGCTAGGCGTGTTGGTGTACGCCTGTAATCCCTGCTACTCAGGAGGCTGAGGCAGAAGAATCACTTGAACCTGGGGGTCGGTGTAGGGTCCAGCCCTACAGGGTCCCATGAGCCCCTCTCTACAGGTGTGGAGACAAGAAACTGAAAATAAAAGACACAAGACACCAAGAAAGAGAAAACAGAGTTTGGGCCCAGGGATCTACTGCCAACCAAAGCACGGAGTCAGGCAGTGACCTCGAGTGCCTGGACACTCTGACTTTTATTGAGTACAAAGCAGGGGGAAGGGTAGGTAGGATAGGTAATGCTGGTCAGTGATAGGGTCAGATAAATCACCTATCTTGGAGACAGGGGCCAAAACTTTGAAGATGCCAAGGTGAGGAGAGAACTCAAGGCGTCAGTACTTTTTTCATACTTGTCAAGAAATAACAAGGTCACTAAGATTTATGTTACTATTACTAATTCTTATCTTCTAAGGAAAAGAGGAACCAGGTGCAGAAGCAGAACTTGAAAGTAGACATGGAACATGACCGCTGAAGCACAGCACCACATAGAGACAATTAAGTCCCTGGATGTCTGTGGGCCTTTCTGACAGCTTACCACAAGAGCTTGGAAGGCGGAGTTTTCTCCTCACTCCACAGAGGAAGGAGATGTCTCGACCATCTTGGACGTGTCCTTCCCTTGCTGGCTAAACAGCCGGTGCTTTCACAGCGCTGACACTGTCACACAGCCAAGGCATCCCCCAGCAGCCCTTAAGCGGGTATGACAGAGGACTTAGAGCATCTTGCCTTAGGGTCACCTCTTTTCCAATGCCACTTCAGTCCCATTCTTCTTGACCTGAGACTTATTAGTAAGATTAAAGATTCTATGATTATATAGATGTATGTATTTATGATTACATATGAATAGCTATGTGATTATGATTATATATATAGGAATAACTATATAACTATATCTCTAATTGGTTTCTAATTCTATGTTTATATGAGAACATGCTGAGGCTTCAGACCCTTGCCTCTCCTGTAGGGGGGTTTCCCCCCAACAGGGCGGAGGTTGCAGTGAGCCGAGATCGCACCACCGCACTCCAGCCTGGGTGACAGAGCAAGACTCTGTCTCAAAAAAAAAAAAAAAAAGTTGCAGTAGGCATCCATGCTTATATATCCTTGGTAATTGTCCAATTATTTCCTTAGGAAAATGACTAGAAATGAAATTGTTGGAATCAAAGCATAAGTCCATGTAAAATGTAGATGGCCAGGTAGAAGGGCTTCCTGGTTTGCAGTTTGCAGCCCCTCTGGCAGTGAATATAGGGGTCCATCTCCCCACACCTTCACTCATACTAGGCATTATCAATTTATAAAACTTCTATAATGAAAAGTTATATTTCATTGTTTCAAATGCACATTTCTGAATTAGGTAGAGTATCTTTTTTTATGTTTTATTACCTATTTGTAGATTGCTCAAGCCTCACACCTTTCTCTTTTGGGATACATATTTTTTTTTTTTAATGTTTTTTGTTTGTTTTTGAGACAGAGTATTGCTCTGTTGCCAGGCTGGAGTGCAGTGGCGCGATCTTGACTCATTGCAATCTCCGCCTCCCAGCTCAAGCGATTCACCTGCCTCACCCTCCTGAGTAGCTGGGACTACAGGCACACAGCCCCACACCCAGCTAATTTTTTTTGTATTTTTAGTAGAGACAGGGTTTCATCATGTTAGCCAGGATGGTCCCGATCTCTTGACCTTGTGATCCGCCTGCCTTGGCTTCCTAAAGTGCTGGGATTACAGGTGTGAGCCACCATGCCCAGCCTTCTTAATTTGTTTTGTAAGCAATTTTATTACTTGATTAAGGATATTAATCCTTTGTTATATGTGTGATGTATACTCGTTTGTCATCATCAGTCCTAACTTGGCTTACTGCATTTCTCACCGTGATTTGATTCTCATGTCATTGACTTTCATCATGATATCTGATTTTGGTGTCTGGCTGAAAAAGTCTCCTCTATTCCAAGATGATGAAAATATTCTGCTAATTTTTCTCTTTATATTTTTATGGGGTGGTTTTTGGTTTTTAAAGAAAATGTGGCACACACTAGTTTGAATGTATTTAGTGCCACTCAGCTGTACACTTGAAAAGGAGAAAAAACCTTATAGGCATTCTTCAGCTATTTAGTACTTTCACTGGAAATGTTGCTTCTTTTTTTGTAATTGATTCCTTTTGTTTCCCTAAGCACATAAATAGGTGGAATTATCAAAATGCCAAAAATATGAAAATAAAAGAGGAGCAGTGATTGAGAAGAACATGGAATTGGATTCAGCCAGACCCAAGTTCCAGATCTGTCCCAGCTCACTAGCTGTGTTCAAATTTCCTTCTTTCTTTCTCTCTCTTTCTTTCTTTCTTTCTTTCTTTCTTTCTTTCTTTCTTTCTTTCTTTCTTTCTTTCTTTCTTTTTCTTTCTTTCTCTCTCTCTCTCTCTTTCTTTCTCTTTCTTTCTTTCTTTCTTTCTCTCTGTCTCTCTCTCTTTCTTTCTCTCTTTCTTTCTCTCTTTCTTTTCTCTCTTTCTTTTCTTTCTTTCTTTCTTTCTTTCTTCTTCAGTAGAGACAGGGTTTCACCGTTTTGGCCAGACTGGCCTTGAATTCCTGACCTGTGATCTGCCCACCTTGGCCTCCCAAAGTGCTGGGATTACAGGCGTGAGCCACTGCACCCGACTGTGTTCAAATTTCTTAATCTCTCTAAGCTTCTATTTCCTTGTCTTTAATATGGAGATAAAATCAATCATAATATCTATCTCACAGAATTGTGACGATTAAATGAGGTGATGGATGTATAGTGTTGAACAGTGTCAGCAGATAGGAGGTGCTGTAATAGCTCTAGTTCTTTTTATTATAGGTTTCTGTTATGATGAAGACAATATATATGGTATGAAATAAGAAAGTAATTTTTTTTCATTTATTTGAAATGCTTCTTTTAAATCACATACATGTATGTATCTTTGTGCTCCTTTGATCTTTATTTCTTTATGAGTTGCATACCATTTAAATTATTGTTGAAAAGCAAGAAAATTATGTAAAAATACTGTATGGCATTATGTCCTATTTTAAAGCAGATGAATATTCAAGTTATTAAATTTTAAAGTTTTAACATTTTACTTTTTTGTGGTCTCAATTTATATACCATTTGGTTTAGTTATATACAATTAGGTTTTTCAAAAGATTAATAAATCAGAGTTGTGCACATGGAAACATCTATATGGTACCCTCACACATGGCATAGGAACACTGATATATGCAATGTAGCAGCCTCTGCCATGGCTAAAAGATGTGTTCCTGGAATCTTTATTTGGAAATGTAATATATTTTATTTAAAATTGTGGTTAGGTCCCCATACTAGACATAAAACTTTACTGAACTAATGCTGGTGAAGTAATGCAGGAAAATTTCTCATATTTCATTTCCCCTTTATAAATTCAGTAGAAAAATGAATTTTGGGTCCTAAACACCTGATTGGCAAGTAGACTTCGGAAATCGAACCCCCCACCTTTAAATTAGAAACTTATGATATTGGATGTCTGAGCCACTTGCCACTTTAAGGTAATAGCACTCATTATAATTGGTCATTTAAAAAATAGACTTGACACTCGCTTATTGATTGATTGATTGAGGTGGAGCCTCACTCTGTCGCCCAGGCTGGAGTGCAGTGGTGTGATCTCGGCTCACTGCAACCTCCTGGGTTCAGGCAATTCTCTGCCTCAGCCACCCGAGTAGCTGAGATTACAGGTACGTGCCACTATACCTGGCTAATTTTTGTATATTTAGTAGAGGTGGGGGTTTCACCATTTTGGTCAGGCTGGTCTTGAACTCCTGGACTCGCAATCCACACCTGGCTGACGCTTGCTAATTTATTTTATAACTTCGTTTCTTAAAACCTGTAGCTTTATTTTAAAAAGATGATAATAATGTACTTTTATTTTCCTTCTTTTGGCAGTTCAGGTGTTTGGAGGCAAACCACAGGAGTCTCTTAACTGTGTGGAGTCGTAGTCCAGAGGTTTATGGCAGAGGATGCTGGGTTTTTAGCATGCTACCATCATGGAATTGCTACTTTTCAGAATAGGGGCCAGGTGCAGTGGCTCACATCTGTAATCCCAGCACTTTGGGAGGCTGAGGCAGGTGGATCACTTGAGGTCAGGAGTTCAAGACCAGCCTGGCCAATGTGGCGAAACCCCATCTCTACTAAAAATGTAAAAATTAGCCAGACGTGGTGGCTGGCACGTGTAATCCCAGCTACTTGGGAGGCCGGGGTCAGGAGAATCACTTGAACCCAAGAGGCCAAGGTTGCAGTGAGCCTAGATCATGCCACTGCACTCCAACGTGGGCAACACAGCGAGACTCTGTCTCAAAAATAAATAAATAAATAAAAATAAATGCTTAGAATAGGAAGGGAAATGCTTTCTGAATGTGAAAAGGTGGATGTGGCTTTGAAACTTGCTGCCCATTTTATTGACACCTAAACGTCACTGTGATCAGTCTAGAGGGAAAGTCAGAGTGTACTTTTTTTCTGTAAAATATGTCACATCCATGTAGACTTATGAAATGTAGGAGGGATTTTAAGTTGTAACCCTTTAGGAAGATAGTTGCTTACACGTGGTGCTTTTCCAAAAGCTCTACTCTTCTCGTTCTCTTACCCCCACTTGATGGCCTTATAGAAAATAACTTTCATGATTTTTGAATCAGTCTCAAAACGTGTCATTTTGCTATCGTGTGTGTGTATGTGTATTTGTGGATTAATGCCCATTTCTTTTATCTGATTACATCATCATACGGATAGGCAAAGATTACATGAAGAGTGGTTGCTGAGAGAGCAGAAGGCACAAGAAGAATTCAGAATAAAGAAGGAAAAGGAAGAGGCAGCTAGAAAACGGCAAGAAGAACAAGAGGTACAGTGGGAATCACATAACTAGTGAACAAACTGATGACTTCACCATAATAACTCTTGTGAAGAGTTGCCTATCTTGGGAGGTTGCAGCGAGCCAATATCGTGCCATTGCACTCCAGCCTGGGCAACAGGAGCGAAGCTCCATCTCAAAAGAAAAAAAAAAAGAGTTGCCTATCTTGAACTTCTTAAAAAAAAAAGATCTTATCCAGTTTACTAGTATTTTTTAAATTTTTCATTTATGTGCCCTATATATGAAATGTTTTTAAAAAGCATCTGAAAAAAAGTTACTTTTTCTTCCCCTTTAAAGAGAAAGTTAAAGGAACAATGGGAAGAACAACAAAGGAAAGAGAGAGAAGAGGAGGAGCAGAAACGACAGGAGAAGAAAGAAAAAGAGGTGATTCCTGTCATGGGAGGATGAACGCATAGCATATCCTCTGAGTATACAGATGTGCCGTGTGATGGGTTTGATGAATAAGCTGTAGGCGTGTCAGAGTTTGGGTTTGTTTTTATTTTTTCTTGTCACTTCATTTGTTTGTTTGGAAAGAATCATATTTCAGTCTAGACATACACCAGAGTTCCCTTCTGATGCTCTTCTTTGGGTCTGTGCAGTGGCAGATTCCTTAAAGTTTTCTTCAGCTTTACCCTATTTACCCTTTCTACTGGGCATTGGCAAACATTGTAAAGGGCCAGATGGTAAATATTTTAGGCTTTATGGTTTGTCTGGTCTCTGTGGCAAACATCCAACTCTGCCAATGTACCCTGAAAGCAGCCATCAATAATATGTAAATAAATGGGTATGGCTGTGTTCCACGAAAGCTTTGTTTACAAAACAGGCAGCTGGCCCTTGCTTTATAGCAAGTTGTGTTTTTCTGAGGTTCTGCTATATATGAGTTGACTTCTTTAGAGAATAATATTTTGTTTTGTTTCCACATTTATTTAGGTCATAAGAGAACTGCTTATGACATGTCAGCAAGAATTAGAGGATTTAAAGAAATCAGGAACTCAAATACCGAGGAACTAGGAAATGTTTTTTGTTATTTGTATTAAATCTTGACTTCCTCTTCAACTTAGGCTATAAAGAAAATTGTAGCTAACACACTTGCTCATTTAAAAAAAACCTATAAGGCATATGTATGAAGATTGATTTGTTACGTTTTGCTGCTATTCCTTAACAGTATATTTATTTCAGAGGTATCACAGCTCATCTTCCCTTGAGTGATTCATCAGGATTTATCTTTTCTGTCATATAGCTAAATTTGAATAGCATACAATTGGATAATCACCTTATAATTGGGAAAAATACATGTGTCTTCACCGTAGTCAATATGGGGCAGAAACATCCTCCACAATTTTTGTTTTTTGTATCTCAAGCCATCAGTTAATTTCAATGCAGATTTTAGACAACCTTAAATGAACACATTTCCAAGTGAGGCATGATCACGCTAGGTTTTTAGGGGGCAGAAAAATTGTTTGGAGCTTGTCATTTGTTATAGAGAGGAATTAATTCCCATTTTAACAGTAGAGTGTTCCTCAGCTGAGGTCTTTCAGGAATTAGGTAACAGCTAAGGCTTGTTTTAAATGCTTTTGTTTAAGAGGACATCTGTGATACATTAAAGAGAAATGAGGGAAACGAAATAGATTCTAAGCTTATTAAAAGGAATCTGCAGTATGTGTTTCTGCTGTATTCTAGACACGTCTCTTGTGGACAGAGAGCAGTGAAAGACACAGTCCCTGCTCTCACTGAGTTATTTTTTATATGGGAGTGTAAGATGATAAGTAAGCAAAACAGATCATTCAAAATATGATCATATTAAGTGCTATGAAGAAATAAAGCAGAGAGTGATGTGATAGAGTAAGAATAGAGTTGTGCTTCTGTAGATTGCCTGGTCAAGGAAATCTCTGGGGAGGTGGTGTTTGCACTGACATCTGAGTGCAGAGATCTCAGCGAGAAGAGGCCTGAAGCTCAAAGGCTGAAAGAAGGCCATGGAGCCTAAAATCTAGAGTCCAAAGGAGAGAAGAGCAGTGGAGGAGGTTGGGGGAGGAGGGCAGTGGGGGGTAAGCAGTGTCAGATGATGGAGGGCTTCTTGGATTTGAAGGAGGAGTTTGGATTTTATGTTTCCTATAATGGGAAGCCATTGAAGGATTTTAACCAGGGAATGACTCTGTCTCATTTATATTTGTACCTTTTAACAGATCATTCTTTAAAAAAAAATTTTTTTTTTTGAGACAGTTTCATGCTGTCGCCCAGGCTGGAGTGCAGTGGCATGATCTATGCCTACTACAACCTCTGCCTCCCGGGTTCAAGCAATTCATGTGCCTCAGTCCCTCAAGTAGCTGGGATTACATGTGCCTGCTACCACATCGAGCTAATTTTTATTTTATTTATTTATTTTTTTTTTTGTTTTCTGTTTTTTGTGATGAAGTTTCGATCTTTTGCCCAGGCAGGAGTGCAGTGGCGTGATCTCGGCTCAC